GCGCGAGCAAAATTTTGATACGCTGCTCTTCTTGCTTGGACGGCATTTTGACAACTGAAGAGTGAATTCCAAAATCAAAATAGGAGCAACATTCTACACACACACACCTTCAAAATGAGGGGTGTTCAGGTTTTTTAAATGCAAAATTGAAAGAAATACGTCAAGTTGATATTGACCAAATTTTGACCGTATCACCCTTTATCACAAACGAAGTGACAGACGACTAACTGGCGAAGAAATCCATTAAAATAATGTGGTTAACTTTAATAGAATTTTCTTGGAAGCTTGTGCCATCATCCAACAGATGGGTTAGTTTTTTGTTTTGATTTGAACAAAGTTGATTTTGTGTACAATGATTATTTGACAGTGTGCAAAGAGTGTATCATATTGTCATTTTTTTATGCATTTCAGTTTTGAGTAGAGTGAAAGAGATAGAACCAAAACATTCTAATACATTTGGTGAAAATGCTAGTACAATCCAGTAGTAGTGTTGCCATGTGGTACAATCTAGTAGTAGTGGTGTTGCCATGTGGTACACTGAAAAATTGAAATAGCAGGTTAGTCACCAAAGTTTTCGAGCCGCTCCGTCTGTCACTTCGTTTGTGCCATTATTTTACCATACAAGCCTTGAAGCAACCAGTATACATCAAAGTAGCGAAGAACAGAGAATCTCTAGTAGCCAAGGAAGCAGGTATAATCACTGGAATCAGTAACCGTGGCGTTATGATACATGCGAAGGATGTCCTGTACGTTCCGGCTCTCAGAGATATTTTTGTGTCGGTAAAGAAGCTGACGAACGCTGGCGTAGAAGTTCAGTTCAACGACACGGTTGCTACTTTCAAGAAAAATGGCGAAACAATTTCAACTGTACATTTTCGTGGAAACCTCTACGTTTTGGAGATGAAGGTGCAAGTTTGCAAAAAGCGGAGGATGCTGATCTTTCGCATCGTCGTCTCGGCCATATCAGTGAAGCCAGCATGGCCACTAGATTGATGCAAAATTTGAAAGTTTCGCTCCACAGTGTTCAAACGGTTTCAAATCGGGTCCTGATTAACCTCCGAAAGTTTAAACTCGTTTGATAAAAAACTGACTTGGCACAAACCATTTGAAGTTTATGTGGAAATTACAATGGGAAAACAAAACTTTTTGTTCATTGTCTCCTAGCCTTTTTACATATTGTACTGTTAACAAATTCTATTGCTATCCTTATCGGAATTTTGATCAGCTACAACTTTGCAGAAAATCTTTTTTCAGCCAAACGTCAAATTAAATAGTTATTAATTGTTTAAGAGATTGATAATCTTATGGCACGATTAAGCAACTGTATTGTGGGCAACACTGTATTCTGCAGTGTGACATAGTAGCCATGATTTTACTTTTTGTTCCTTACATTTGATCGAAAAGTGGTCTTAAACAAAGTTGTAGCTGAGAAATTTCAGCTACCATTTTCTAAAGTAGAGTAAACTAGTGAATTTTGAGATAGATATGAACCGAAATTATGGTTTCTCCATAGTAATTCCTATATAAACTTCAAATGGTTTGTGCCAAGTCAGTTTCTAACTAAATGAGTTCAAATTTGGGGAGGCTAATCAGGGCCCAATTTGGTACCGTTTGAGCACTGTGGAGCGAAAATTTCAAATTTTGCATCAATCTAATGGCCACCCTGGTATATGAGAATCTGGCCGCCGGTGTGCATTTCAAGCCGGAGAAGCTGAAGTTCTGCAAAGTGTGTGTACAGGGAAAACACAGCCGAAGTTCATTCGATGGAACAAGAGATCGGGCAACTCGTTGTTGAAGCGTATACACTCCGATGTATGTGGACCGATTGACCCAGCATCTTGGGATGGACTTCGCTATTTCGTTTCATTCATCGACGATTATTCCCATTTTGCTGTGGTGTACCTGTCTAAGAAGAAATCGGAGGTGTTTAAAAAATTTCAAGAATTTGAAGCATTGTCTACAGAGGCCTGCGGAACGAAGATTTCGAAGCTCACAGTCAGCGTTGCCAGTGTTCCAGATTTATCTGGATTTTCCAGATTCTTAGTCGTCTTGCCAGATACACAGACAGACCATGTATGTTTCCAGATTTTTTAAATATGTTCCAGATTTTCCCAGATTTTTTAAACATGTTGCTTTAAAAATATCACTGCAATTGATTTACCATCTAATAAAAAAAAATAAAAATCCAAATTTGCTACTTTAATTATTAAAGGCCATCAACGTTGGACATTATTGGAATTTTAAGGTAATTCTGAAAATAGTTCACAGTGAAGTATGAGCCGAATTTCTTGTGTAATCAAAGGAGAACTTCAAGCTAATTCTGAGTAGAGTTCCATCCATCTTTTTGGCCTTCATGGTCGTGCTGCGTCACCAGTCATTCAGGCGTATTGTGAGTGCAACAAAGTAAGGGTTCGATTCCCGCTCCAGCCGTTGCAAATTTTGGCAACCTGAAAATTTCCCTACAGGTCTAATGGGTGTGGTGTGTTGTCCGTTGTTAAGTGTTAAATACTCAGTCTGTGCAACCTCTGGTTGAAGACGGTGTCAATTGTCTTGTCAACTCTGATGATGGCAATTGCATGGAGATTTTGTGAATATAGAAAATACAATCCGGAAAAGAAATCATAGAAAATTCTTATGATGGAACTTAAGGAGTATGCTGATACGAATCGTAAGAATAACTTCAATGGAATTCTGTTCAATATTATGCGCAATTTTTGGGAGACTTTCAAGGCCATTTTGACCAGTGGTTGAGTACTTAGGAAAAACTGAAGAGGATTTCAAAATAATTCTGACCTTACCTACATAGCAGTTCAAAGGTAATTATCGAATAGGTCTGAGAAGAGTGTGACGGTCATTCTGAAGAGTGCATCAAGGAAATTATTAAGACTATTTTAAGAATTTCATAGAGAAAACTGGACACAGGGAGTATAAGAGATTAAAAGAGGTAATGCTATGAATTCTGCTATGAATGTTACTAGAAAAGATTATTTTAGGATCATTTAAATGGAACTAAAAAAAGGGCGAAGATATCCTGTGAAGAGTTCCAAGTAGATTCAGACTAACAAAAAATTTCATGATCTGGGACCCAGGAAAATAGAAATTCCAGAATTTATAATCATTTCAAGATGCTGAGACTTCAAAAATGACGCTATCAGACTTTCATTTTAGAAATATAATAAAATTATTCTTTGGCATGAAATTATTCGTAATGGTTATGCGCGAATAGTGCAGTTACCTGTAGTTTAGGTAAACTTTGTGTGAGTACCACGATGTTGGGCTTTGATTCTCACTCAGCCAGGTGAATTTTGCTTCAAAATAAAATTTCCTACTGGTCTATTTGGAGTTGTGTGTTGTGTTGTATTGAATTAAATTGTAAATCTGATCCACTTCAGGGTAATATTTGAATTATTTAGAACTAATAAAATCTTTATATTCTGGTACTGCATCAAATAGTAAAGACTACATCGACTATTAGTTTTAAAAAATCCATCCCATCAAATTTGCATAATTCTGCAGTATTTTACCCACATTTAATACAATTTTTGAACTGCTGCGTAATGGATATTTAAACTTTTTGGGCACACTGTGTCAATGCTTTTCAACTTTTGGATGATTTAGCAATGCTAACAAGTTATTTGCTTTATATAATTCATTTAAACTAGTAATTCATAACCATTCTAGTACTTTAAATAAATTCCAGGTGATCATACTGTCCAATTTTTACGGGAGATGGGCACATCACTTTGATTTCAATAGCATTATTTTAAAAACAGGATATTTTGGAGCATTCCAGATTTTTCCAGATTTTATATATTAACTGGTCCAGATTTTTCTGAAAATGATCCGGCAACGCTGCTCACAGTAGATCAAGAGCGTGAATATTGCTTGGGCAATCAGAAGAAGCAATACAAGACCAATAAGATCCAGATCGAACCAACAGTAGCTTACTCGCTGCAGCAAAACGGGGTTGCAGAGAAACTTAACAGAGCTCGGATCCAGCGAAATAAAATGCCGAGCTGCTCGGCGAAAATACAGGCATTCGACTCTTTTGATGGAGCCTCGTGGTATGCTACAGATGAAAAACGGCGAGACTTGATAATGTGATTTATCATCCGGAAAACGGACTGTGATATCTAAATTCTCATCAAATATGTTTTAAGCAGAAAAAAAAAATTGTTTGCTTTATTTTCACTTCCATCAGTTTTTTTTTTAATACAAAAAAGCGACTCTTACCTAGTAGAAAAGCTACTACTTTAACCTAAATGCAAAATAAAATAATAATCGATATAAAAAAAGATCTAATGATCCTAACACACTTGTACTACTAAGGCTGGCAGTCAAGACCGTCAAGGTCTCAAGACCCATCATTCCCTCTCCCAAAGAAAGGCAATGAATCTCTAGGCTTGGACCCAGCAGAGGTGAGCTGACCTAGAAGCTAAGCTTCCTACGGTTTATTTTTTATTTTTTTTTATTTTCCTACTCCAATTTTACCTATTTACAACCTGGAAATGCACTTTTCTTCGTTTTGTACGACAAACTACTTTCGGGTTCGAGTGGTTTGGAATAAACATAATTTACAGAAATCAAAAAGCATAATTAAAACAAAAAAAAATGGTTACAATTAGGCCTATTCTGCGAATAGGCCTAAAGGAATTCTAACGGTTAAATGCAAAGGCAAACATTGCTACACAACAGATTCACTCTATTTAGGTTACACGTATGCCTGTAATAAATGCCTTATCAAATGTATCACGTCGTGGCACGCTGTGCTTTGTTTTCGACTTGTGTTACCATCAATCAAAGCACCCAATGCCACGGATTCGCTTCTTCGCCTGCTGCTGAAAAGCACATCGGCGAGCAAACTTTCTTCGAGCGCGCTGCGAGTGGGGGGAAACATTTCAGTGAAATATTTCAACAAGAGAGCGCTTTTTCCTTTTCATCGGCGCTCTTTTCCGTTTCATTTGCGTGGGGGTGGTCGCGAAACGATTGGTTTTACGTTGCACCAATTTTGATGGAGGGGGAGGGTTAATTTGATTCTGTCCGATTTCAATCATCTGCTGGTTTTCGGGAAAGCAGGTGGTTTTTTTTTTTTTTGTGTTCCATCTGATGGTAGGGGGTGGGTGACTGGAGGAACTTGGAGCGGTAGATTTCCGAAGCACGGTCTACCGGAAGGATTTTGTCAATAATGGGACGAACACTGAAATCTTTTCCCACGTTTTCCTGAGTTCTGTTCACACATCTTTTACGTATCACTTTCGAGTCGGCTCATGGCTTCGGTTTCCAACTGAACCGAAACTATCTATCACTTGAGTGGGATCATTTTATGTTGTGGTTGTTGTCTTTTTGGGTTAAACTAGTGCCGATATTTGAGCTCAATTCTTACGTATACTCTATTAAATGCTTGCATGCAAATTTCGATATGTTTTTTTAGATGATCTCGGGGTTTAAATAAGTAGATCTACTATCAACAGGCAGACTCAATTTTGTCTCAATAAACAAGTTTGAAAAACGAAAATCGATGATAAATCACAATCAGTTGATTTCAACTGCTTCATGCCTTCCGCGGACTACCACCCGCCCGAAACACAAAAATGTTTTCTAACTTCCTAAACTAACCGCTGCATTCACTCACTCTCGCTATCACTTCCACTTAAAAAGTGTCTTTTTCCTCTCCTAACCTTCCTTCTCTGCTTACAATATCATGCAAAACATATCCTAACCTAACCTGGAAGACTCCCGTTCTCTCTCTCACACACACACACTCACACACGCACGTCTATCTCAAATAGTACTGTACTGATTACTGATTCACTAGTTAGTACCAAATAGTTGTAATAGTAGCAGCTAAAGTAGTAGTAGTAGTAGTAGTAGTAGATCCCTGTTGTTTTGTTTTTCTTAATCTATAACCGTAGCCCACGGATGGTCGATCTTACCGTACTGAATGCCGGTCAGGGTGTCGTACAACCGCTGGTACAGGGGCGACTCGTGACTCGTCGTCGGGACGTGGATCTCCTCGCCCATGTAGGCGATGCACTCAACCGGGCTGACGACGGCGGCCGTGCCGGTGCCGAAAATTTCCAGCAACTGAAAAAGGAAGAAGAAGAAGGCAGAAGTTAGAGGTTATGTGTCAATTCGAGCACCGCACCGACGGTTTGTGGAATTAATTGTCTGTAATGAAGTGAATTTCCTTCTGAAATTCAATGCAAATGACGTTAGGTTGACTTTGACAAGCTTCAGCGAGGATAATGCACAATTTAAATGCGATATTCGAAAATCTGGATTAAATGTTAAAACTCCATTTGGTAAGCAACAAGAGAGGATAAAACTTTCAAAGCACGCAGCCATTCTCTGTTGTTAAGTAGAGAGTGTCTGTGTGTGAGTGAATCCAGTATCGCTGACAAAAGACATAAGGGCTAATATCGCAGTTATAATCAACGCCTTCTTTAGCGAAAATCGCGAGAATGAAAAGTCACCCAAGTAAATCACAACAATGATTGTGTAGAGGGAGAGTCCCTCCATCTGACAGAACTTGTGAATGAGAATGCAGTTCAGAGATCATTTGGGCAGTTCCAACGTTAAACAACGTTAAGATGTTGAAACATTATTTTCGGACAATTTCAGGACAACTCCATGAACTTCACGGAAATTTCAAGAACTACAGTAAAGTCCAGAACATTGGGGAAGTTTATAGATCTTGCAGGGTAAGTTCTGAGAACATCAATGAAGAACCATAAATTTCAAGAACACTTCGTGAACTTAGAGCTGAAGATCAGAGAACTTCCCGACAGTTCCATTAACATCAAGAACTTCAAGAAACATCAGATTACTTCCCGTAAGTTCAATTATCTTTAGGTAGGTTTTAAGAACTTCAAGGCTGCTCAGGAATGTCCGAAATATTGTGGAAACGTGAGGAAAATTCAGAGAATTTCAAGGAAATTCCAAGTTCCGACAACTTCAGGGTAGTTCGGATACCTTCAAAAACGTTCAGAACAGTTTAAAGATCTGTTATGGTAAGTTCAGATAGCTTTCAAAAGATTTCAGGTGAATTTCGAGAACTTCAGAGAAGATCAATGAGCTTCAGGGCAGTTCCATTATCTTCAAGAAAATTGCGGGAACTTTACTGTAGATGTCAAAACTTCAGTTCAGTTAAAAGATCTTAACGGACGTTGCCTAACTTCGTTCAGTTCTGAGAACTCAGTGCAGGTCCATGAACAATGAACTTCAGGGCAGTTCCATTATCTTCAAGAAAAGTGCGGGAATTTACTGTGGATGCCAAAACTTTAGTTGAGTTTGAAGATCTTAACGGACGTTGCCTAACTTCGTTCAGTTCTGAGAACTCAGTGCAGGTCCATGAACTTCAGGGAAGTTCCATTAACTTCAAGAACAGTGCGGGAATTTACTGTGGATGCCAAAACTTTAGTTGAGTTTGAAGATCTTAACGGACGTTGCCTAACTTCGTTCAGTTCTGAGAACTCAGTGCAGGTTTATGATCAATGAGCTTCAGGGCAGTTCCATTAACTTCAAGAGCATTTCGAGAACTTTACTGAACATGTCCAAATTTCAGTTGAGTTTGAAGATCTTAACGGACGTTGCCTAACTTCATTCAGTTCTGAGAACTCAGTGCAAGTCCATGATCAATGAGCCTCAGGGCAGCTCCATTAACTTCAAGAGCATTGCGGGAACTTTACTGTAGATGACAAAAATTCAGTTGAGTTTGAAGATCTTAACGAACGTTGCCTAACTTCGTTCAGTTCTGAGAACTCAGTGCAGGTCCATGATCAATGAGCTTCAGGGCAGTTCCATTATCTTCAAGAAAATTGCGGGAACTTTACTCTAGCTGCCAAAACTTCAGTTGAGTTTGAAGATCTTAACGAACGTTGCCTAACTTCGTTCAGTTCTGAGAAATCAGTGCAGGCCCATGATCAATGAGCTTCAGAGCAGCTCCATTATCTTCATGAAAATTTCGGGAACTTTACTGTAGATGCCAAAACTTCAGTTGAATTTGAAGATCTTAAGGGACGATACCTAACTTCGTTCAGTTCTGAGAACTCAGTGCAAGTCCATGATCAATGAGCCTCAGGGCAGCTCCATTAACTTCAAGAGCATTTCGGGAACTTTACTGCAGCTGTCAAAACTTCAGTTGAGTTAGAAAATCTTAACGGACGTTGCCTAACTTCGTTCAGTTCTGAGAATTCAGTGCAAGTCCATGATCAATGAACTTCAGGGCAGTTCCATTATCTTGATGAAAATTTCGGGAACTTTACTGTAGTTGACAAAACTTCAGTTGAGTTTGAAGATCTTAACGGACCTCTCCTAACTTCGTACAGTTTTGAGAACTCAATGCAAGTCCATGATCAATGAGCCTCAGGGCAGCTCCATTAACTTCAAGACTATTTCGGGAACTTCACTGTAGATGCCAAAACTTCAGTTGAGTTTGAAGATCTTAACGAACTTTACCTAACTGCGTTTAGTTCTGAGAACTCAGTGCAGGTTCATGATCAGGAAAATTGTGGGAGTCGCATAGCTACAGGCAAGTTCCGATAACTACAGCTACATTTCGAGTAATTCGGGGCAGTTTCATTAAATTCAGAAAAATAGCGAGAACCTTCATGAAGTTCAAAAAATGAGAGATAATCTTAAGAACTTCAGGGAAGTTCAGAGAGCTTAAGAAAAATGTCTCACACATCACAGAAGTTCCAAGAAATTCAAGCAACTGCGGAAAACGTGGAGAAGTTTACAGATCTTATTTTTATCTAGTTCATTTAAGTGGAAGGCTCAATCGTGTTAGCTTTACGGAGCCGATAATAAATTGTTTATTGTATTTAACAAAATTCACTTATTTCTATGTCTAGTAAGAGTTGGGCCTGATACTCGCGGCTTATCCGAGAGGGGTACATTGTCGAAGGATAGGATCAGGGGAGGAGTATGGGGGCGGGGTTTCGTTGTCTCATAAGAGCGTTGTCGTTAGTATGAACGGTAGTGCGGTTCTAGATTCGGCTGGAGTTTTACCGGCGCAAAAGGTTTATCGATTTCAGGGCAACTGTTCTAGAAACTTCAGGAATATCCAGTGAACTTTAGAAGAGTCCAGAGAGCATTAAGAAAATTGTTAAAACTTTAAGCTCTTTATCTGCTTTAAGAAGTTCCAGGAATTTTGGGAAAGTCCTGCGATGTACCGATTTTGTTTTTGAAATCTATAGACATATTGTGGGAGCTTTGCAGATGTTCAGAGTTTCTTAGGGAAGTTCAAAGATTGTTAAGACAGTTTTATTCATTTCAGAGTAGAACTTCAGGAGAATTGTGAGAACATCAGGAAAGATCGAGAACCTCAGGGCAGTGCATTTAACCTCAAGGAAATTGCAGGAAGTTTTGCGGAAATTTGAAGGAAATCAGGGAATTTCCGGAACTTCAGCAAAGTGCTGCGATTTTCAGGGGAGGTCCACAGAACTTCAGAGAAGATTTTTAAGCAGTTTCATAATTCACAGAGATGATCCGAGTATTTCGAGGTAGATTAGAGCATCCATTAGTTAATTTCCAAAACTTTCAAGAAGTTCCAAGAATTATGAAACATTCCAAGAATTTCAGGATTGTTCCAACAATTTCTAAAAATTTTCAATGACTTCAGGGTTTTCCATGAATATCAGGGACATTATTGGAACGTAAGAGAAGCTCCGAGAACGTTTTGAAAATTTAAGGAGCTTCAGGTAAGTTTAGAGATTTCAAAGGAAGTTCCATGAGCTTCAAGGAACCCCGAAAACCGTAGGAAAGTTGCAGCAACTCTTGAGATTCAGAGCTCTTTAGGGCAGTTCCAATTACTTCAAGCAAGCTCCGAAAACATCAGGAAAATCAAGATTTGCGAGGTACCCTCATTCTCAAGATCTATGAAGTTCCACGAAGATAAACATCCCGGGAAATTCCGGAGATACTTTCAGTGGAAAATTATAGAAACTTCCAAAGGAAGTCCGCACACACTTTCGGGGAAAATCAGCAGCTGATAAATTAAGAGACGGAAACTTTTTGGAGAAGTTGGGAAGAACTTCCAAAGAAACTGACCTGAATCTGACGGGTGATAAACATCCAGGAAAAGTCCGAAGATACTTTCAGAGTAAGTTTATAGAAACTTCCAGACGAAGTCAACAGATACTTCCAGGGCAAGTCTGCAGGACTTCTGATAATTTAAGAAACGGAAACTTTTTGGAGAGATTGGAAAAAACTTCCAGGGAAGTTTGGATAAACTTCCGGAAAAATTCGGAAGCTGCCCTGAATCTGTCGGGAGATAAACAACCAGAAAAAGACCGGGCAAGACCGAAGACAATTCCGCGGCAATTCTGCAAGACTTTCATTCAATTAAGAGACGGAAACTTTTTGGAGAGGTTGGGAAGAAAATCCAGAGGGGTATCCAGATCTATGAAATTCCATGAAGATAAACATCCAGGAAAATTTCAGAGCAGGTCCGAAGATACTTTTAGTGGAAGATTATAGAAATTTCCAAAGGAAGTCCGCACACACTTCCGGGGGAAATCAGCAGGACTACTGATAAATTAAGAGACGGAAACTTTTTGGAGAAGTTGGGAAGAACTTCCAGAGAAGTCTGGAAATACTTCCGGAAAAAGTTGGAAGAAACATCCAGAGAAGCTGACCTGAATCTGTCGGGAGATAAACATCCAGGAAAAGTCCGGGGTAAGTCCGAAGACAAATCCGAGGGCAATTCTGCAAGACTTCTGGTAAATTAAGAGACGGAAACTTTTTGGAGAGGTTGGAAAGAACTTCCAGACAAGTCTTGAAAAACTTTTGAAGGAAGCTGGAGGAAACTTCCAGAGAAGCTGTCCTGAATATGTAGGGCGATAAACATCCAGGAAAAGTCTGGGGTAAGTTCGCAGATGCTTTCAGAGGATGTTTATAGAATTTTGATTCAAAATGGGCACTTGAATGGCAAATTCGGCGTTCCTCCACAAGAATGTCCTAAAGGAGGAGTTTTAAGAACATTCATGTTGTTCCGGATCATTCCGAAAATGTTCAGAATATTCCAAGGAAAAATTGAAGCTCTGGCAAAGTTTTCCCCGACTACAGACAATTTCCAAAATTCAGCAAACCAAAATCAAAATCAACTTACCCGTCCCTTTTTGGCCAGCTGTTGCACCAGCGGCATCGTGAACTTCTGCTCCTTGACGGAGAATTCGCCCCACTGGCGACATAAGCGGATGATGGAGTCGCGCGTGATACCGGGCAGGATCAGTCCATCCAGCGGCGGGGTTAGCAATTCTCGCTCTGCAATGGACACAACGAATGCAATCAATCGACCGTCAAACTACGAAAAACTACCCACAAACGCCTTACCTCCATTCTCCTTGATGTACAGCATGAAGATGTTCATCACACCGACTTCGGTGAGCTCGTGCGCATCTCCGTACAGCCACAGCACCTGGTGGCATCCCTCCTTGAGGGCTTGCTTCTGCACGTGGATGGTTGGTCCGTAGTTGGATCCGACCTTACGGTCTCCGACGCCACCGTGCCAGGCGCGGGTGTACTTCGGATTGGCATACAGCTTCAGTCCTCCGGAGCCGGGCTTGAAGTACGACCCAACCGGCGACAGTATCGTGTAGAGCAGAGCCGAATCCGACGAAGCAACACCCAAGGTCGGTTCGATTCCGATCAGCGTCGGGCGGATGTACAAGCTGGACGACTCCATGTGCGGTACCCACTCCGAGTCGATCATGATCAACCGGCACATGGCCTTGGTAAGCTCGTCTCCTTCGAACGTCGGCAGACCGGACCGGTAGGCGGTGACGTTCATGCGGGCCATATTCATATTCGGGCGGAACAATCGAATCCGACCATCTACGCCGCGATAAGCCTTCATGCCTTCGAACAGCTAGGGAAAACAAACAAAGAAACGGACGGTGATCAATCAAGACGTTCGTCGGGTGCCAATCAGCTGTTGGTAACAGTCAATAAGGTGATGATGATGATGATGATGATGATGAGGTAGAAAGGCTCGTATGACAAGCTCCAATTCGAACCGGTCGCACGAGAACGCGATAAGACTTCGGGAAAAACAGCTGAGACCGCTGTTTTCGCAAACCTTTCCTCTCGTGATTGAATGAGAGATGATTGAATCGTTAGCAAAATCAACGGCTTGTTATCACCATTCGACTCGTTCAGGAGAAAACAACTTGTTTACCGGTCCGAGGTCATGCTTTCCCGCACACAAACAGCTCAATGCTGGAAAACATGCCATTAGACGACTGCTACTAAGTGATCGCCAATTAGAGTGTACCATATATCGGAGCTAGCTACTCACCTCGACGGCGTAGTGGAACACCTTGGCGGCGGGATGTAGGTTCAGCGTTTCCATCGGGGTGATTTCCGGCTTCTGCCAGCCGCCCAACCGCCGGTGGTAGGCAATCTTGAGCATGTGGTCGGTGAAGTACTTTCCGAAGGCCATATCGTCGGTGTCCGGTTTCGGCGAGAGCTGGTGCGGAGCGGCCAGACGCACCGAGAGATCCGAGTACTGCAAGAGAGAACGAGAGGGAAAAGGGGAATTTAGTTCGTGTGTAGTAAAAGCACCAAATGTAATCTAGAGATGCATCGTTTGTGTTCAACTGGTGGAGACGCGTGGTCGTGCATTGCAAAATGTCGCAAAGAATGTTTTGCTGGGGCACATTTTGAAACATTCATGTTGATGGAATATCGAAGCAACCTACTAATGTTGCCATTGATTCAGAGTATGCCGTACACGGCGAATGAGAACAACCCAAATTTGAGTTTAGTTAACTCATAAATCACATGAAGTGTTTTCCAGTTTTTTGCCAGGTTTCTTCAGGAAAAATTTCCCGAATATGAGAAAAGTAAAAATGGGATTCACTCAGTCTATTGGTACGACTCCTAGACTGAGTAAAATTTTCGCCAATTTTCCTCATTTTCCGACAGATTTTTTAGGTTTTCCACAGGAAAACGTTGAGCAAATTTACTCATCGCTGAGTTCCTGCACTTTTGGTGATTATGTGTGAACTAAACTCCAATGTGGGTCGTTCTCTTTCGCCGTGTAGGGCGTTTGACAGCTGAAAAATGCCTCTGATTTTTTGGCCAGGTGAGACAGAACTTTACTACGGGTAAAATGCAAATTTAGAGTGAAAAACATAAAACTTCTTAACTAATGGACGCCCGGGAACTTTATTCATTAATTTCGCGTGTGTTTGAAAATACTGTGCTCGACTAAAAGGATTTGTTTAGATTACCGCGAGTGAACAACCCTGTGCTATTTCGGAGGTGCAATGCGGTGAGATCCATCCGATTATAAATCAATTATAAATACGTGCCGGATTTCGAAACTTCACCTTTCGAAATCTGGCAGTGTGTTTGCAGTACCATTACCTTAAAATTGTCGAGAAACTCTTTACGATGAGCCCTTGGAATTTCGTTTGAACTCTTCTCAGAATTCCTTTGGAATTGTGGCCTCAAAATTAGATGCTCTTGGTATTTTTTCACGAAATCTGGAGTCCTCACAATCATCATGGAATATTCCACAGAAACTCTACTCTGAGCTCGCACAGTCGACTTGGAGTTCTAGTCGAACCTATCTTGGATTTCTTCCTAAAACTCCCATGGAAATGTTCTCTAACATGCCTTGGTGTTATCCCTACTGTGTTACCTGACTTATAACGAATGTACGTTGTATACGAGTACCCCGAATACAACGTATGACTCGTCTAATTTTGCATAGCATTTGCAATGTAAAATTAGAAGGACTATACGTTGTATTCGGGGTACTCGTATACAACGTATATTCGTCATAAGTCAGGTAAGACAGTACAATTCATCCTGAAAACTCCCCAAAATTCCTTTGGAATAAAATTTTAAAACTCGCTAATAGAAGTTCTTCCGAGTGATTGCATCTCGAACATCTAGTCCAAGTGTCTTGAAGTTTGGCCAAGATCCAAATCTTATTTTCATCGGAATTCACGGGTCATCGAAATTCAGGGGGTTCTCCCGATGATTTCGAAATCCCGGCTTTTTCCCGTTGCTGGCTGTTTTGAAATTGTTAGGCTGTTGGTTAATTTTCACAAATTGCCACTTCAACAATGAATTAAATTGTTCGAAAATCCGTCTGTTGTTGATCGACCGATCGTAGAGTAGGTGCTGTCTAGAAACACTGGAATAAGATACCAGCGGAGACACTGTTATGATTCCAATCGAACTGTCAAAAGCGGTTCCAATCTGCAATGTTTACAAATGGTTTGCTTCAATTATGGAGGAGTATTAAAATCGTTTAACAATCACTCATGAACTCGCTCGTCGGTGCATTGGCGAAGTCACTCGCAAGCAGTTACAAATGCAAGTGATGCCAGGATTGCTTTAATGTTTATCTTGTTGCCAAATTCATGTTTTTTTTCTCCGCTGGTCTCTTATTCCAGTGTTTCTAGTGCTGTTTTGTCTGTTAGAAATCAGTCTGGTAGACAGGGCTATTTATTTCAACTGTCAAATTTAAGTGAAAATTCGCCAACTCGACTGCGACCTCCAAGCCATTGCAGTTCGGATCCATCTTCCGATACCAATGACGGTGGTGTCGATATACATCCCTTCCAGTTCCCAGCAATGTCATACCGAGCTAGACGACTTGTTTGCACGATTTTCAAAGCGCACCATTCCGCCTGAGGCGCTTTATCGCCGAGAAGCTGACTCGGATTTACCCATTAGTTCATCGTCAGCCAACCTCTCGATGTGTTCCGAGATGCTAGCTCCCAAATTGATTTGGAGAACTCTTCTGGGGAGACACAGTAGCGATCACCGTTTCCTCACCTGAGGTCACAACGAAACGAGGAAGATGGCCCTACGATCAAGCGGACTGGATATCCTTTGAACGGCTGAATACTAGCAGCATCAAACCGGGTGATGGAATTGAAGTGGAATAGTTCATTGATTGGATACTGTCTGCAGCAACAGCTAGCATACCTCGAACATCCGATCGAGTCGGTCTTAAATCGGTATCATGGTGGTACCCGGAGGTGGAAATAGCAATTAAACAGCGTCGAAAATGACGGAGAGCACTGAAGCGTACCAGAGCAGCGGGTGCACATACAGCGGATGTCCTGAAAAGGTTCCAGGACACGAAGGCAACGGCCAAGAAGGAAGTGAACGAAGCCAAGTGTCGATCATGGGAAGAATTCGTCGGAAAAATATCTCCAAGCAGCACTACGGCCGAAATGTGGCAGACAGTCAAAAATTTGAAGGGCAAGTGGCAGCACAGCAGGACTGTCATCAAACGATCCGACGGGTACACGGATAATGCGGAAGAAGTTGCAGATGAACTGGCTAAGCACTACTGTGAGAGATCGGCGACCTCTAGCTATCCTCCATTGTTATAAATAGTGAAGTAAAAAGCGGAACGGGATCGCGTTGATTTCCTACTAAACGAGCTTCTGTGGGCACTCGACAAAGGACGTAGTGCTCGACGTAGTGTTTCTACAGGTCCCGACTCCGTTGCTTCGATGACTTCCTCTTTCCGTCAAGACTGTGCTACTGGCGCTGCTCAACAGAGAATGGCATAGTGGTGTTTTTCCGACCAGCTGGCGAACTGGAATAGTACTGCCAATTCCAAAACCGAATTCTACAGAGTCTGACCCTGCCGCTTTCCGACCCATCACAGCGTATCGTGAACCGAAGACTAACAACTGATCAGAGTAGACAAAAGGCAACACGCCTTCAGAGCTTGCCGGGTCGTCGATGCATACTTGGCAGAGTTGGATAGGTCGCTGCCCGACAGAGATGAACATTGCTGGATAGCATTGCTCGATCTCTCGAAGGCGTACTACACTACTTGGAGATTTGGCATATTGCGTACTCTACGAAAATGGCAGATCGCGGGGATGTTCAACGTACCTCGCCGATAGAACATTCCGGGTGAACGTGGAACAACATTCATCGCGTGAAATGCCATTGGAGAATGGCGTTCCTCAAGAGCTGTCACCATGTTCCTGGTAGCAGTGCAACCGATCTTCAGAGTGGGGCCGCATACAGTTACCGTACTCCTGAATGCAGACAATATCTTGCTCGTAGGACGGAGAAATAAGGAGCATCCTCTGTATAGCGATTTGCAAGCTGCGCTGAAAGCTGTTAACTCGAACGTGAAGCCTGTGCTGTTATACGCCAGTGAAACATGGTGTGTATCAGCGGAGAACACTCAGAAGCTGCAGGTGTTTATCAACCGATGCCTGTGGTACAAATTCCGAGCTTCATCGTCTGTGCCGTCAGAAGCCGATAGAGACAGAAATTCGTGAACGGAAGTGGAGGTGGGTCGGCCACACACTACGACGAAATCTGCAAGCAAGCAATGGACTGGAATCCAACAGGACATCGCAGCAGAGGCAGACCCAGAGGCTCGTGGCGGCGGAGCCTAAACAGTGAAATTAAGAACGTTGACCGAAATTTGACTTGAGCACAGGTCAAGGCAAAAGCTAGTAATCGCCCAGGATGGAAATCTTTCCCAAAGGCCCTTTGCACCCCTGGAGGTGCGCAGGATCGTTAAGTAAGTAAGTAAGGTGAAAGCTGTGGACCGGTGAGCTAAAAGCGTCGGTTCGAAAATCTCCTCAACAAAATCCAGCAACGATATTTGCATCGATCGGGTAGTTACGGCGAGACTGAAGATCATCGGTGTTACCCTCGACCGGACACTGACTGTAAAGCAGCATTGAAAGACAGTTGCGAAGCAAGGCGTGAGCAACGTGACTCTTTGTTGTGTAACGGCTCGGCAATCATCACTTCGCGGCTTCTATACGGCATTGGATTCGTCAGCAGAGCACGAAGGATTCCGTCATCCAAAATCTCGCACCCGTCTACAACCGGATGGTTCGGTTCGCCTCTGGAGCGTACGTCACCAGCCCGATTCCAGCGATTATGGCTGAAGCGTTTGACCTCCTCGTTCTTCAGGCTTTAGTTCGTACTGCAGAAATATCGACCTTCCAGTTGTACAACGAGCATCCCACCTTCTTATGCTGGTTGATCTATGACTCCCGAACATCGCTGTGCGGACATGTTTCACCAACCGATTGTGGCATGAACCCAAGCCACGTATTGTGTGGAACGTGAGAAGACAGGTGAAAGCTCGAGCTCCCCCGGATAGAGTGCGTCCCATCTTATAGCAAACCGTTTCAATCATTCTTCGGTTGTCTACACTGACGGGTCAAAGGGTGTGACAACCCAGTAGGTGCAGGTGTATTCTGTTGCAGTCTGCATAGAGTAATAGCAACAATCAATACGAAACTATCGATTTTAAATTGGCCCACTACTTGACTAGCCTATTGGTCCCAAGCAAATGGATTAACGTATCCCATTCTAGACGAAATTCTAGTACTGCACTATGTTTGTTTTGATTGGCTTTGAAAGTTTGACAGATAAAATGAGGGGTTCATGGATTTTCCCGAGAATTTTCCTATGTTTCGAGGGGTGCATCAATTAGTTTGGGACTGAAGATAGTACCAGAGCTGGGCCAAAAAATTAAGCACGTTTCTTCGGGACCTTCGGGTCTTAGAGCTACCTCTATGGTAATAGGTCTTCCGTCACAGTGTAGCGTGGCGGCTCTCAACACGGGTATATCGAACGGATTGATCGTCTTATCCGACTCGGAAAGTTGCCTATCGGCCAAAGAAAGTGGCACATCACAGCATCCCTGGATCCAGGAGAACGAAGGGCTGTTACGAAACCGCCCGATACGTCTTTGTTGCATTCCCGGCCACACGCCGGCATCCGTAGCAATGAAGAAGCAGATCGACTCACGGGAAAAGCACTCCACGTCACCATCAGGATGCCATCAAGGCAATGAACCATGCCATTCGTCTGCTATGGGAAGAACGCTGGCCGCAATTAACGGAAGTCAAGTTGAAGGAGCTTAAACGCGAAACCAAAAACAGGGAAAAGCGGTTGTTGAAGTTTCTGCAAGAAGTCAATATGTATCGAAGAATCTAAAGGAAAAACAGGAAGCGAGAAGATGATGAAGAGGAAACAGAAGGAGACGGAACGGATGAAACGTGGTGAAGAAGACGGAAGAATGGAAACTGAAGAAGAAGAGAGCAAAAGTAAATGTAGAAAATGAGAAGAGAATGGAGAGGAAACAGAAGAAGATTAATTTAAAATGTTACTGTGCGAAAATTAATAAAGAAAGCGAGAAGGAAAAAAGAAAACAAGGATTCAAGGTGAAGCACGAAAATAAGGTGATACTCTAAGGAAGCCTTAGCGTGAAACTTTAAAGGCACAAATGTCAGCTTCCACAAAACATACAAATTTTAAATTGCTACTCCTTGTTTGCTGTGCTACTACAAACAGAGAGTAGCAAGTTCAAATTTGTATGTTTTGTGGAAGCTGACATTTGTGCCTTTGAAGTTTCACGCTAGGCTTCCTTAGAGTATCACGAAGATAAAACGAAGATGATGAAAAGATGGAAGAAGTAATGGTGAAATTAATAGAGAAGAAGACGTGCAAACAAGAACGTGAAATGCAATTAGCAAGCAGACGATAAACCAGAAGGAGAGGAAACGAGCACAGAAGACAAAAGCTGAGTGAAATTTGAATTGTATTATAAACATTAACACACACACACCCACACTATTACCAATAATCAATACGAAACTAACGATTTTAAATTGGCTCACTACTTGACTAGCCTATTGTTCCCAAGCAAATCGATTAACGTATCCCATTCTAGTTGAAATTCTAGTACTACTCTATGTTTGTTTTTGATTCGCTATGAAAGTTTGACAGATAAAATGAGGGGTTCGTGGATTTTCCTATGTTTCGAGGGGTGCATCGATAAGCTTGGGACCGAAGATAGTACCAGAGCTGAACCAAAAAGCTGAGCACGTTTCTTCGGGACCTTCTGGTCTTAGAGTTACCTCTATGCTATTACACTACGTCAGCTCGGAATTTTTTGCCAAGATTCGCACAGCCGAGTCCTCGGCCATCAATTCTAGATAGAGCTGGAATTAGGGCGTAATAGCTTTTGTAAACAATTACTTCTCTCGATGATTTCTCGAAAGACATGACTCTCCCATGGCAAATCAATATTACCATCGAATAGGGGAAGACCTCCCCTACCCGATGGATATGTTGGATTGTGTAGGCGTGCCTTGAGTTGCTAGAAATCAACGTGAGAAGTCATTGTTTACAAAAGCTGTTACGCCCTAATTCCAGCTCTATCTAGAATTTTACTAAGATGTCAGCAAATATGACATTTGTGTGCTGAGATTCAGCAGAGCATTTTCCGAGACCCAGCAAACGAACGTCACCTATACCAATACCAGAATATCTTGAAGTTCTTAGGAATTCTACGGGTTGTTGAAGTTCCATAGATTCCTGGAATTCTGGGAGTTCCGGACGACGTTCTAGAAACTTTTGTGGTTCGGGATTTCCCGGGCATTCTAAGGATTTCTGAAGCTCCAATCGAGACTGAAGGTCCATAGAGGTTTGAAAGTCTGTGCACGGCTCTTGAATCGCTGAAGTTAGAAATCGACTGGCTATAGCTATAAGAGCTCACACTTTGACATGTTCGGTACCTCAATGCGGTCCAGTGCGTTGATCAATATCCTGCAGACATTCAAGTAACCATCAACTACATGCTGGATGTTTTGTAATTCAGCTTTCGCTCGTTGGGCTAAACCGTTAGTGAAAGGCTTTCGTTAGTTGGGCTGAGCTGTCAAGCTGAAAATTGGTTCAGGTATACACCGATTGTTTATTATCATCACAATCCTTTAGCAACTATTCAAATTGTTCATTCATGAGCCCCAGTGAAATGGAATCAGCACGGTCCGAAATGACGTTTGACTGCGATTTAGGTGGGCTACAGCTCAACTAACGGAAGCCCAACCAAAACGTTGCCCACTTATGGCGGTAAGCTCCAACTCGGATTAATTGACTCGGATGATTTGCACGTTGATTAACTCTGATGTCGACTTCGAAGCAGCCGGACGTTCCAGAAGTTCCCAAAGATCTAAGAGTTCCGGCTATTCTAAATATAGTCAAATTTTGCTCGTTGGGTTGTGTTTAAGTGGGCTACGTTTTAGTTGGGCTCCCGTTAGTTGGGCTATAGCCCACCTAAATCGAAATCAAACGTCAATTCTGACAGAACTGTTTCCTTTTCGAGGGGCTCATGTATGAACAATTTGGATAGTTGCTAAAGGATAGTGATGATAATAAACAATCGGTGTATCCCTCAACAAATTTTCTGCTAGACAGCTCAGCCCAACTAACGAAAGCCTTTCACCAAGTGGGCTACAGGTTTAGCCCAACGAGCGAAAGTTGACTGTATGCATGAAGTTCTATAGGCATAGTTCTATGCGTTTAATGGTTTGCTGAAGTTCCGGATGCTCGTTGAGTTCTATGCCTTTCAAGTTAACACTCAGAAGGTTGACACAGAAAAATGAGTTATCAAGAATCACGTGACTCTCTGAATGCGGATAATTGCTCATCTAAACCCTGCGAATAAGTCAAATCAATCCAAACACTCGTCAACGAGGTTATTGGAACCCTTGAGGGTACTGGAACTGAAATTGGACCAAGATTTCAACGATCAACTGCTAGATCCGCTTGCCGTCTGCAAAAAAGCTCATACGCCATCCAGCCAATATCGTGGCAAGGCACGAGCCAACTAATTGTATTCAAATCAATCCAAGTCTACGACACGGAAAGCCTACGTCCTAGGCATGTGACGTCACCACTCTAGGTTATGCACGGTACAATAGGTCGACAACACGTCCGAAGACAATATCAAAACCACCACACTGGGAAATGCCATTTTCTACGTTGCACCGCACCTACCAGTGAATTAATGCAGCAGCGGCAACAAATGCAAATGCAGCCGTCCGTCGTCGTCCTACCCGGTGGTTAACGGCAATCAAGTTCAGGGTCAGTAAAACGCTTCGGTTCTTGCCGCCGTTTGATTGCAACGCTTCTCTGGAAAAGAGGTTACTCCGTCTTGGTAGTACTCACCTTAAACTGCTCTCCGACATCGGGCGCGTGCTCTAGAGTCATCGGGAACGGAGCCGCCACCGGAGCGGCCTGGGAGATCTTGGGCATATCATCATCCTCCACGCGCAGTGCCTGCTGAATCTGCTGCGAACCGCCACTGCACAGACGGACCTGTGTCTGCAGCAGCTGCTGGATCAATTTGTGCTGGTTCAGGAAGATGTAGCGGGCAAAGCTCTGAAACAATAGAGAGATATTTATTAGAAATTGACAGTCTGGTGGGGCGATAAGCGCTGATTTTTATGGTAGCTTCAAATCCGGGAATAGCAGGTTACTGGGTTGATAAGCGACCTCAGGTCGCTTACACTGTTTTACATTTCTTATCACACAAAGTGGCCCGCAAATTTTCATCGCGCGACGTCAAAAAATATGACGCACGAGACGTGCCTGCTCGGTGATTACACAGAGCCAAGCCTGCTGCGCCACCTTCTTCAGACGTGACGTGTGTGAATGTGTGTGTTTGCCTGCGTGGATCGACTCATCATAGCAGGCAGGCCCGAGATTGACAGCTTTGCTGACGGATCATTGGGTAATTTTAAATACAAACGACCTACTTGACTCTCTCGAACAAGGATCGCCATTTCTGGCTGAGTCTGCTCCTGCCCGCGATAAGACCATCAAAGTGGATTGCGCTTTGTTGCCATGGCAAAAAAATATATAGCGATGTTTCATTTTCCAATTGATAGCACTATCAACATGATTACTGATAAGCGGAAGTGTTTTACTTGTTTGGCACACCCCTGCTGCTGATCTCTGGCTATAGGATCCATGTGACGAAACGCACGCAGAGGACAAAAACAACAATATTTTCTATTTATAACAAAACTATCAAAACAACTCAATTGAAGATGGTGTTTTCTCTTCCCACTCTCCATCGTTAGAGCAACGAAGACAGCAACGGCCTACCTAGATAATGCCATCAATGACATTGACCCGGTGATCGTCATATATTCATTTGTTCGCATGCAACAATATGCGTTCATTCTCAAGGCGCACACCCTTAGCATTGATTGGAAAAGTGCATTCTTCCGACTGGTGGCAATTTGCACTCCCCATCCAAGCGCACACGTCACAGCAACAGCTAACAATCTCCGACCTCCTTTTTTAAATTATTCTATTGACAAACACCCGCCGACGGCGGTTGTGCATTGTCCAAGATCGAGCGAGGAAAATTCCTCTCAATTTTTATCGGAGTTCATACCTACGTCATATTGAGAATAATCAACCATGCGCGTGCTCCACCTACATAGAAACCCAATTTACCGATCGAAAGATACCGGAGCAAAGTTTAAATCCATGTCGATAAAGTAGATGGCGCAGCGCATGCTGCGACGAAACGTCACTCAAATCGCCACGCTTGCACGCAGACGCGGAGTGAATTCGTGGAACTCGTCCACAGACACGCAGACAACAACGAATCGAAAGATAAGGATTGAGTCTGCTAATTAATCGCGGGTGGGAGTGTCACACGCTCACACGAGTCGACGACGCTCGGGTTGCATAACAGCGGCGCTAGATTGGCTTTATTTTTCTTCGCAGCGCTGCTGCTGGTGCTAATGAACTGCATGCAACTGGTACAGGGGGAGCGGAAAAGTGAAGGTCGTGACGGTGCAATTTTTACGATCACTTCCCGACGAACTTGAAAAAAAAGGAAAACACTGAAAACGGGTTTGGAAGGGTTTGCTCTGGTTCCAAAGGAAGTGGACAAATGTGATCGATTATTCGATTGACATTGAAGCCTATTCTGCGCCCCGCGAGTGAGGTGACTCTCCATTTGATTTGCACGGAATCAATTCACTAGTGAAAGGGAGTCACCTCACCTCATTCGCGGCGCAGAATAGACCTTATTGCATATTTGGATGTAGATTTCTCGAGTAAGTAGTCAAATCAATGAAAATACTTTTAGTGAAAAATAGATTCATGCGTCAAACTTCGAAACTCATAGCTCGCCCACGCTAGAGTGCCTGTAAGAAGAGTAATGACATGTCAAAATTGAAACAATCGGTCATTTGTCAAATGCTTGGAAAACGTCATTTCACCTGGGGGGGACCTGCACGCTCAAAGAAATCACCCAGATTGGGCGTAAACCAGACAAGCACAGAATAAAGGGTGTCCACATTCAATTTGCATCACTTTCCAAAAACTGTAACATCTTGCCCTTTGGGTTAATTTTAATGAAATTTAGAGTGAGATGACCTCAGCGTGTATTGTTTACACTGCGTGAGTTTCATTGTGAAATTTCTAGTAGTTTTGCATTATTTTGCACACTCACCTCAACAACCCACATCTTTCGCACCGAGCCAAAGATTTTGGGAATCCAGCAATTTACTGTTTCTCGTGTCTTAACACGTTTCGAAGAACGCTCAACTATCGATCGGAAGCAAGTGAGTGCAAGAAAAAGTGTTCCGTACTGCGTTGAACATCACAAGGTATTCAAGGTCCAGAACGCACCAAACCTCAATGAACAACAGAATAGGACAGCTAGAACGCGGGCACGTAAGCTGTACACACAAATGTTGACAAAACCAAACTGCTGTATCTTGGACGATGAAACATACGTAATAGCGGACTTCAAACCAGTATTTGACTGCGAAAGACAAGTTCGATGTTCCAGAGTCCCCCAGAAAATAGCAAGAGTCGAAGTTCCCCAAGACCGTAATTGGTCAACCCTACATGAATAAGTGCCTGAAGAAACGACTGCTTCCGTTTCTCAAATCATTCAAGGTGTCTACAATTTTTTTGGCCGGAACTAGCCTCTTGTACACTACTCCAAGGATGTTCTGGAGTGACACAAGACGAATGGGGACAATTTCATGCCGAAGGATCTAAAGTTGTCACTACGGAGCGGGAAATGTTGAAATCATGGTTGAAAGCAGAAATAAATGTTGATTCAACCGTGGTACAAAACCCTATGGGTGGAATTAAGAAGAAAGTTCGGGCATTTGGATTTGTTGAAGAAATAGACTGAAATAAAGATACGTAAACTAAGTTCATAAATAGTACGACATTCCCTGAAAATTTCATAACAATCGGTTGGGAGACTTATTTTTGGCGAGTACTTCTAAGTGATGCAATTTAACTGTGGACACCCTTTAAATCGTTGATAAAGGCAATTCCTTGACGAAGGCAGATTGTTATTGATGAAGTCGATGAAGATAAATCGTAGATCAAGGTAAATTGATGATCATTGCAAATTTGTAGAAGAATGCAGATTGCTGATGACATCAAATCATCATCCAATATTTGATCAAGGCAGATAATTTATCAAAGTAAATCATTGATCGTAGGCTGGATTATTATTAAGACTAATATTTGATCAAGGCAGATAATTTATCAAAGTAAATCATTGTTCGTAGGCTGGATTATTATTAAGACTAATAATTGATCAAGTCAAACTGTTAATCACGGTAGATTGTTGATCAAGGCAGATTGTTGATCAAGAGAAATTGTTGACAAAGAGATAGTCGATCAACGCAGATTGTTGATCAAGACAGATTGTTATTATTAACAATCTGCCTTGATCAACAATCTGCGTTGATCGACTATCTCTTTGTCAACAATTTCTCTTGATCAACAATCTGCCTTGATCAACAATCTGCCTTGATCTACCAATCAACAATCTGCAGATTGTTGATCGAAAAAAATTCTTGATCAAGGCAGATTGTTGATCAAAGCAGATTGTTTATCAAGGCAGATTGTTCATCAAAGCAGATTGTTGATCAAGGCAGATTGTTGATCAATGAAAATTCTTGATCAAGGCAGATTGTTGATCAGGGCAGATTGTTGATCAAGGCAAATGGTTGCTCAAGGTAGATTGTTGATCAAGGCAGATTAATCATCGAGCAAATTTTTATCAGGATGGATTGTTGATCAAGGCAAATTGCTTCTCAAAGCAGATCATCAAGGCAGATTGTTGATGCAGGCAGATTGTTAATACAGATTGTTGATCAGGGCAGATTGTTGATCAAGGCAAATCGTTGCTCAAGGTAGATTGTTGATCAAGGCAGATTGTTGATCAAGGCAGATTGATCATCAAGCAAATTTTTGATCATAGCAAATTTTTGATCATAGCAAATTTTTGATCATAATGGATTGTTGATCAAGGCAAATTGTTTCTCAAAGCAGATTGTTGATCAAGGCAGATTGTTGATCAAGGCAAATTGTTGATCGAAGCAGATTGATCATCAAGGCAGATTGTTGGCCAAGGCAGATGTTTTATCAAGGCAGATTGATCATCAAGGGGAATTATTGCTTAAGGGAGATTGCTGATCAAGGCAGATTGTTGATCAATGAAAATTGTTGATCAAGGCAGATTGTTAATAAAGATTGTTGATCAATGAAAATTCTTGATCAAGGCAAATTGTTGATCAAGGCAGATTGTTGATCAAGGCAGATTGTTGATCAAGGCAAATGGTTAATCAAGGCAGATTGATCATCAAGGCAGATTTTTGGTCAGGATGGATTGTTGGTCAAGGCAGATCGTTGCTCAAAACAAATTGTTCATCGAGGCAGATTGTTGATCAAGGCAGATTGCTGATTAAGGCAAATTGTTGATCAAGAAGATTGTAGATCAAGGCAGATTGTTGACCAAGGCAGATGTTTTATCAAGGCAGATTGATCATCAAGGAAGATTATTGATCTTGGAAGATAGATCATCAAGGGAGATTGTTGATCAAGGGAGATTGTTGATCAAGGGAGATTGTTGATCAAGGGAGATTGTTGATCAAGGTAGATTGTTGGTCAAGACATGTTGTTGCTTAAGGGAGATTGTTGATCAAGGCAGATTGCTGATTAAGGCAAATTGTTGATCAAGAAAATTGTAGATCAAGGCAGATTGTTGACCAAGGCAGATGTTTTATCAAGGCAGATTGATCATCAAGGAAGATTATTGATCTTGGAAGATAGATCATCAAGGGAGATTGTTGATCAAGGGAGATTGTTGATCAAGGTAGATTGTTGGTCAAGACATGTTGTTGCTTAAGGGAGATTGTTGATTAAGGCAGATTGTTGATCAAGGCAGATTGTTGCTCAAGGCAAATTGTTGATCAAGGCAGATTGTTGATCAAGGCAGATTGCTGATCAAGGCAGATTGTTGATCAAGAAAATTGTAGATCAAGCCAGATTGTTGATCAATGAAAATTCTTGATCAAGGCAGATTGTTGATCAAGGCAGATTGT